TGGTGAGTGTAGAGAACCGGAGACCCTCTTTACTGGAAAAGAGGCATCCCGTCTTAGTCCTCACGGGTGACAACGCATCTGCATTTTGATTCGTAGTCGAGGATAGATGTAGATGTCTAAGAGCCGCAGTAACCACTTACCATTAGGTGGACTGTGTGCTCGTTTGTTACTCTTATCCTATAAAAAAATTTATTCACAGTGGCTTTCTTACCCTTGCAAGCAGAATATAACAAAGTTTGCACTGCTGCTTGGTGAAAATTAAACTCAAGCATTCAGTTTTTATATTATATTTTATAAGAATATTTTCCAATCATTGTTTTATAAATAATGACTGTAGGTATGTATTTGGTAGAGACAAAGTTACCATCAACTTTTCCTTGTGTTATATTATAATACTCACGAAATAAAATAGAATTGCATATTAAAATTAATCTTAATACTTACAACGTATTTTTAACTATTAAAAATCTCGCATTGTTATAAGAGGTAATGTAATCGTTAATTGTGAAGCCCCACTGATTTAGCTTAACAAAAGCCTGTTCACTCTTATAGTTTTAATATTGATGTTATTTCCAAATCGTTAACAAACATATCCCCGACTGAAAGAAATGTAAATCTTTTATTTAAGATTTTTGTTAATTACCGTTGATATTCTTACAACCACTATAGTTCATGACCTGTTTAGGTTAGCTTTATGTTTAAAACATGAAAACAAGTCACCCGTCGGCCGTGACCCAATGTGTAACATTAGACCTATTTACAGCACTGACACGTGACCTAGCACCTCTTTTAATTAATGTCACCTGTATAACGTGTCACTTGTTACTGACTGTTTAGTTTAGTTACTCAGATTTTAATCAAGACTAGTCTTTGAGACTTCAAAGGAGACGTAATGTAACCACTATTTACTGCCCTTTTTTAAATCCGTCCCAGCCGTTAACTCGTGATTAAAAGACAAATATGATTTCGAGTTCATTGCTCTTTTAAATAATAACTTCTTGTTTGAATTTAGAATGGCTGAAAAGTAATTTGTACGTTGCCTGAAAACAGCAATTTCTGAAAATTGTAAATTGCAATATTGTTAAAAATCGAACCGAGAGAGCGAAACAATCGTGCTGCGACATTTTTACCAAAGAACTTTTTCAACTCTGTCATCCAAAAGACATCAACGTGTTCCTATTTTAAGTCATTCTACGACACGATTTTGTGCTTTCGAATTATGTATTCCAACACAGTTATTACATTGATTACTAACTTATGACTTATTAAGGTCAACAGGTATATAAATAATATCTTTCAGGATACAATTATTTGAAAGGTATAAATATTAATGAACCATTCCAGCAAAGTTTGAAACTAAGCACTTATGATTATAAAAATTACTTTTGTTCAAATGTCCTTAATAATCAATATACTGTATTACTCGTTTACAGTTAAGGTCAACTTAATATTTTTTAAGAAATTATTCAAGTAGCACCTTGAACGAATACTAGAGAACATGTTAGGTTTCTAAGAAAAGACATTAAAAACGACCTTTAAATTTAAAATATTATATGAATTTTTTGGCTCGTTATTAATTTTAAAAGAAAAAATCACAGTCAATTTATAACTCAATGAGCTTTTTTGTGTCATTAAAATGTATTTGAGATTGAGAATCATTAGATTTCCTCAAAATCTTTTTGTTGACATCTGAACATGTAACACATCAGTACTTTAAACTTCCAATAATAATTTAATGGTTCCGCCACTCATGATCGAATTTATTTATCCACATCTTAACTGACTTGAGAATTATATGTGTGGAGTAAATCGACTATAATTATGTAAAGAATATAGTTCGTTTTAATGTTGATTTTTTTTAGTAAATAAGGGTTATTTACTAAAAAAAACATCATTAAAACATTCAACATTATAACTTAACATGAATGTAAAAATTTTTTATAATTCTAATTCATTTATCGAATAATAATTTAGAGCAATATTTAAATATATTTTGATACTGTTTTTACATTTTCTATCTAGCACATAATGGAATTCCATTCTTCGAAAGAACATTATCGATTTAGCCTGATCCATATATTACCAAAGTTGTTTATTTATTGCTTAATTTGCCCCATGTGTTAACAAAAATTGAAAGTCTCTAGTAAACTTTAATATCAAAAAATTACTAACTGCTGATTTCCAGCTAATAAAATTCCGAGCAATACACGAAATATTACCAACTTATTATTATTATTATTTCACCGCATGTATGAAAGATCATCACTTGAAAACGGCTGCACAGATTTTTATGACATTTTTTGTGTATTTGAGTAGGTTCCTGGATGGTTTAAGTTCACTTTTGGGCCCTGGTGGCGCTGTTGTGCAGATCGAGAAATAAACGCTACGCAACGCTAGTTATTATTAAAACAGTAGGGATTAATACACAGTTAAATGATTGTCAGAGATGTCTCTGGATGCTTACATTAATTCAAAAACTACGATTACGAAACCTGCAAATTATATTCGCAACAAAAACCATGCGAAGCGCGCACCTTCTGTCTGTCCTCAGCGAATTCTATTGTTTCAATGTAATTTGTTTGAATATTCGTGGGATTTCACTAATGTGAGTGGCCGTGACTCTTTGTCTGTTTAAATTATTTTTCAAAGAATAAAGAATAAAGGTGACAAACGAGCTCCCAGTTCACCTGATGCTGTAAACCATAGACATCTACATCTATCATCGACTAAGAATCAAAATGCAGATGCGTTGTGCCTCGTTTTCAGTAAAAAGAGTCTCCGCTCTTCTACACTCAATTTACGAAAAACGGCAGCATCGAGCTATTTACGCTGGTATTCTGTAAGATCGTGGTTATTTTCTGGTCGAATCGACCTATTCATGCTACAACCATAATATAGCTGCAACTTGGTTCTACCGCGAATAATCGCAAAATATTTTTTAATTTATATTTAATTCTTATCACAAGCAGTCAAGGATCTTAATTATTCATAGTTTTGCCTTAAATTTTGTCATTTGTTTTCGTATTTAATTATTAACACAGGTTTATTGGAAATCGAGGCCGGGTAGGAAGGCACGTATTTGTTCCAGCGCATATTGCTTGAGGAAAAATAAGGGAGGATATGTTCTTTTCTAAGAAAGGAAGTGACGCTAGTAGGGCCGCGGATGTTTGTAAAAGCTTTTCCGTGTCCCGGTTAATATGGAGCCGAAGTGGAACACAAACTGATTATTTAAAAAAAAGTTGGGGTGAATACGACATAACCCGTCCTTATCCTCACGAGGCGAAAACGCATAGGCCTCTTTAGAAAAGTTTATAGTCTGTAAGGCTGCGGTTAACTTTTATATTACGCTATCAACCGGTGTTCGACTCCCGCTAAGATCAATGAAATTGTAAATCGCTCAAGTTTAAGTGCCGATTTAGCATGTGCTCGACAAAATCATGTATTAAGGGGAAATATAACCTCAAATGGCTTAGCAAGATCCTCCGTTATGCCGAAAATATTGCAGCATTAATTTTGACATAAATATATGGTAAAGTTGAGGATTAATGTTAAGGATTATGTTAGACGAAAACACGATTTCGTAAATTTTTCTCGATAGAAAAAAACCCAAAGTTACCTCCAAAATAAACAATAAACCGCTGTTATTCATAAAATACTTTAAATAAGATCATGAAACTTTGCATACTAACTGAACTAACTATAAAGCAGTGCTTATGTTATTTACTTTTTTTAAATACCATTATTTTCACTGTAAAAAATACCTAAACTATCGGCCTCTTGAAGCCTGATTCCTGCCGCCCGGTCAGTTTCGCTTCGGCCTTTGAAGAGGGTGGATATGTCACTTACGATCAGAATACACATTACGCAACAGGACGACGTAAAAATAAAATGGCAAATAACCGTAATAAAAATAAGAAACGACTGGCTTGGCGTTAAGAAACAGGCATAAATATGATAAACCTAATGAAATAAGTGTCTAACGACCTATCTACTTACAGTATTAGTAATTACAAACATGTTGGTACATAGCATACGACGCGCGGGGAAGTGGGGGCGAAATTAGAATTTGAGCTGACTTACTATATCCCCTTAAGTCGCATGCCTCGTCACACGGGTTGTGTAAATATTTGAATATACCTTAACGAGAAATATTTGACAAACATTTAAAATTTACTTATCCTTTTTTGTATTCGCAAACGTTTATTCAGTGAAGGACAATGTTAAAAGATGTACGATCAAACAAATAATAAACAAGTCAATCGGTAAAAAATTTTGACACCTTTTTAATACGGACTAAAAAGTATAGAACATCTTCTTATTCTTTTGCTTTTTGTTTTCATATTCTTACATTATCATCAAATTTCAAATAAAGTTCAAAACTTCAAGTTTCTAGCTAATCGGAAAATTAGTTTAAAAACAGTTACTAAATTCGACCCATACAGACATCCACGAAATCGATTTCTTATGTTTATTGGAACTTTTGAAATACACATTTAAATAAAACTAGTTATTACGGATTTTATCGCGTATATTAAGTGACATTTTCAACTACCAGCCTGATAAAAAAATAAAATAAAAATATATTAATGTAAGTTAATATACGTAACTTAGACAGCGTAGAAGCAACTGAACAGACTCCAAATGCATGCGGCGGGACTTGCGGGACGCAAATTCAATACAGCTCGTATTGAAGAAGTAACTGAGCGGAACCAGGGCTTCAAAATTTTTGCCAGAGATCTGTCTACCAGAAAAAGCCACCTGTCGAAACTGAAGACCAAATGTGGCAGCATCGTTTCCAAGACACCTGCCATTTTGAGTGAGATTGAAATGTCTTATGGGCATTTGTACACGTCATCGGAGCCACACGCAAGTGTGAGTAACGATCCAAGAGGAAGTCTTATCCGACACAATTCTGATGATATCCCGAACGTCAGTCTGAGCGAGATTAGAATGACTCTCCAGCAAATAGTAGAGCCATGCTGCAGCTGTACTGTGGAGCCATGCTGCAGCTGTACTGTGGAGCCATGCTGGAGCTGTACTGTGGAGCCATGCTGCAGCTGTACTGTGGAGCCATGCTGCAGCTGTACTGTGGAGCCATGCTGCAGCTGTACTGTGGAGCCATGCTGCAGCTGTACTGTGGAGCCATGCTGCAGCTGTACTGTGGAGCCATGCTGCAGCTGTACTGTGGAGCCATGCTGCAGCTGTACTGTGGAGCCATGCTGCAGCTGTACTGTGGAGCCATGCTGCAGCTGTACTGTGGAGCCATGCTGCAGCTGTACTGTGGAGCCATGCTGCAGCTGTACTGTGGAGCCATGCTGCAGCTGTACTGTGGAGCCATGCTGCAGCTGTACTGTGGAGCCATGCTGCAGCTGTACTGGCCTGGAGCCATGCTGCAGCTGTACTGTGGAGCCATGCTGCAGCTGTACTGTGGAGCCATGCTGCAGCTGTACTGTGGAGCCATGCTGCAGCTGTACTGTGGAGCCATGCTGCAGCTGTACTGTGGAGCCATGCTGCAGCTGTACTGTGGAGCCATGCTGCAGCTGTACTGTGGAGCCATGCTGCAGCTGTACTGTGGAGCCATGCTGCAGCTGTACTGTGGAGCCATGCTGCAGCTGTACTGTGGAGCCATGCTGCAGCTGTACTGTGGAGCCATGCTGCAGCTGTACTGTGGAGCCATGCTGCAGCTGTACTGTGGAGCCATGCTGCAGCTGTACTGTGGAGCCATGCTGCAGCTGTACTGTGGAGCCATGCTGCAGCTGTACTGTGGAGCCATGCTGCAGCTGTACTGTGGAGCCATGCTGCAGCTGTACTGTGGAGCCATGCTGCAGCTGTACTGTGGAGCCATGCTGCAGCTGTACTGTGGAGCCATGCTGCAGCTGTACTGTGGAGCCATGCTGCAGCTGTACTGTGGAGCCATGCTGCAGCTGTACTGTGGAGCCATGCTGCAGCTGTACTGTGGAGCCATGCTGCAGCTGTACTGTGGAGCCATGCTGCAGCTGTACTGTGGAGCCATGCTGCAGCTGTACTGTGGAGCCATGCTGCAGCTGTACTGTGGAGCCATGCTGCAGCTGTACTGTGGAGCCATGCTGCAGCTGTACTGTGGAGCCATGCTGCAGCTGTACTGTGGAGCCATGCTGCAGCTGTACTGTGGAGCCATGCTGCAGCTGTACTGTGGAGCCATGCTGCAGCTGTACTGTGCCATGCTGCAGCTGTACTGTGGAGCCATGCTGCAGCTGTACTGTGGAGCCATGCTGCAGCTGTACTGTGGAGCCATGCTGCAGCTATATTGTGGTTGCAGCACGAATGTTTTAGCTCGACCGGGGTAAGACCACACCCTCATAGAATACCAGCGTAAAATACTGCTGCAATTATGTAAAATTTTGGAAGCGAGGCATTCCATCTCAGTCCTCAGGACTGGCAACGCATCTGCATTTTGATTCTTAAATGAAGATAAATGTAGATTTCTATGCGCCACAGTAATCGCTTGCCATCAGGTGGACTGTGTGCTCGTTTATCGCCCTTATTCTATAAAAAAAACCTATTACGGTAAGGCTACAAGCGAGGATTTAATTATAGTTGATAAACATGAGAAATTATTATGTAATACAGTACGTATGTGATAATTGCAAATATATGTTAATATACGCGATGAAATCCGTAAATACTAAATCCATAAATACTAGTATTATTTAAACACGAACGCGAGTTAACAATAACGTGGTAACAGACACTCCGTGTTTATGTTGCCGCTGATGCACTAATATCATTTAGCAGCTTTCGCCACAACAATTTTAGTTTCCGATACCGTCGCCGACCGGCGTCCAGAAGGCTATCCGCACCGGCCTGCCTGCTTAACGATTTTCTCTAACCTTGGGCCTCGTTGCGTTGCCTATCTGCCGCTTTGTATGCTGACACGTTCTCATCGAAGGTCAAATGTTACAACATAGCCCTGTGTTCGATCAATTATTGTATCATCTAGTAACTCGGGTAGTCGTCCGTTTGGAAACTGTAGAAATTATAGTGATAATATTTATTAATAGCAGCATATCTAAGTCTACAGTTTAACATAGTCCTCCCTGTATGAACAATGCATGTAACGCCTGACAAACGTGTCTTCTGATTCAGTATACCTTTGTCGCCTCTTCTGACACCCAAGGGATGATATGGGGCGGTAGATATTATTGCACCACCACTACAAGGATGGCAACTACGTCAATTTTTTTCTCTTTCCCTATCTTTGCCTATATAGAGATAGGCTTTCCACATAAATTGCCTCATAAGGGAGGTTTTTGGAATGTTGCCATGCTTGGCAGGCGAATTGGTAAATACAGATTCTTTATTTTTCTATTTTTTTTACTTTTTATAAGCCAGTGCTTGACCACAGTCCCACCTGGTGGTAAGTGGTGATGCAGCCTTAGATGGTAAATCGCACTGTCACTCTTGCCATGAAGACGCCCAGATTGTATTCGGACGGAAAGATATACGCCGGAAAATTATTCCACTCCTTTGTTGTACGCATTAAAAAGTAGAAGTAAACCGTTTGGTTCTAATGCGTGGAATATCGACATTAAAGGGGTGAAGATCCACCCACCGCCTGGTCGTCCGATGATGGAAAGGGGAGGGAAGAATTAAAGTGTGCAATTCCTGTGCACACTCTCCGAAATGCATCCTATAGAATACCGAGACGCTGGCTACTCTGCGCCTGTGCTCGAGGCTGACAAGGTTGATTTCAACCAAATCAAAGTCACAAATGAGCCTCTTAGCACGTCTCTGCTCTGAGTCCAACGCTACCATGTGGCATTTTGCGGCACAGCAGTACTCTATGCACGACCAGACTTGCGCTTTATATAAGCTAAGTAGCTTTCCCGGCGTGAAGTACCGCTTCACCTTTGTAAGAACTCCAGTTTCCATAGTTGAGGTTCGGAGAAAATTCAACCCCTAACAACTGAAGGCGGTCAGTGTACTCCAAGGATAAATTCCGGAAATTAGGAGCCAGGGTGAGCGGTCTCGTTTATGCGGTGAAAAGACACGCTTGTGTTTTATAGGCGTTGAATCTCACGCGATGGAATCGCCCCATTTGGACACTGCCTGTAGTGTGAGATTCACACGCTCAATCATAGCCACTCTTTCGGACTGGATTTGATCCCGATTGGGGCAGAGTACTTAGTTGGTATCTCTCCACAACTGTACTATCATCTGCGTACCCATAGATACCGGGCATAAGCAGATCATTAATATGCAGCAGGAAGAAAGTTGCGAAGAGCACGGACCCTTGAGGAACACTGGCATCAGTCGCCACAGGATCGGGTGAGCAGCCATCGACGACGACCCAGAGAGACCGTTCACTCAGAAAGTCCTTTATCCATTCAATCAGACCAGGGGATAAGCAGTACACTGAAAGTTTACCCGAAAGGCTAGCGTGCCAAACACTGTCAAAAGCCTTCGAGACATCAAGGGAAACAGCAGGTGCTTCCCCTTTGTTCTCAAGTGCCTCGTCCACGTGTGTGGCATACACTAGAATTCCCCAGCTGACCGATTTCGGCGACACCCGTATTTCCGGTTAGTAAGAAGGTCATTTTGTTCTAGGTGTGCCATTAAACGGGCGTTCAATGTAAGCTCCATAATCTTGCAGAGTATGAAGGTAATTGAAATTGGCCGATAGTTGGCAGGGTCGGCATGGCTACCTTTTTTAGGCCAGCTTCCAAGATTTGGGCACTATTCCAGTCCTGAATGAGAGGCGGAACAAGCGCGTCAACACAGGAGACAACTCAGGGACACAGACCTTTAGAACTATAGCCGGTATACCATCAGGTCCACTAGCTTTGTTCACGTCTAGACTTCACAAGGTTTTGAGAACCTCCTTGTTGGTGATACGGACCTCTGACATAGAGGTACCGCAGTGACATAGAGTACCTCTGACATAGAGTAGTTATACAAGAAAGGCGCTGCTGCTCATCTCCCGGTTTGTTCCTTTTTTTCGCCTCTTACGACACCCATGGAGTATATTGGGTAGTGGATATTCTCATACCGGCACTACACGGTCAAATATATTGATTTGATTTTCACAATATACAGAACATTGTTGAATGAGACTAGATGCTCCTTTTTGGGCCCCTTGTACTCTCGCAATATTTAGTGCACTACCGCCCTGCTTTATAACATCGCGTTACTAAGCGTGAAGACTGCAAACATATCGGTCAGTGCATATATAAATGCCTCTTTTATCTTGTTTTGTGGAAAGTATTGCAGAAATCATTCTGCTTTCAATGAATAAATGGTAAGTTATAATCTTAAATGATAATTTATAAATTGCATTGCGATGAAAGAAAACATTGCAAAAAAAACCCCTACTTAGAATTATAACACTTCGAGGATACGTTAAGATCTACTCGAAGACAGTTAAGAGCATTGCTATCGCAAGTACACAGTTAGACTTAGACCTCAAACTTTGTAAGTGTCGTAGGATAATTAGATAAACCGATTTTTCCTCAAAAATCTAGGGATATCGCGAAAAAACGGTAATTAGACAGTGGCAATGACATTTCTTAATCTTACTGAAAAAATATAAGGGTTTTGCAACTTTGAATATACTTAACTTTGATTGGCTTGATTTTGGTTGATAGACGTATAGTTTATGAGTAATGATTTGTTTTTTAAAGTTATAACCCCACTTTTTACACAGGAATATTTACATAAAGTTACTTCCGTAACAGCTTCGGAGTTGCAGGAAGTGCAGCCCCTTCGCCATGGCGTAGTAAATTGCAGGTACCTGTGCGAGCCGTAGCGGATGAGGCTGGGCGGCGAAGGCGATGAACAAGCCAAAGCTACGGAGGTGAGCAGGGGGCTGCTCTCCCTTCGCGCCTATAGTTTTATAAACACACTTTAGGGATAGAGCAGGCAAGACTACGTGGATTCGGGGTGCGCTGATTCAGTTTTAGAACAGATTCGACCAATCGTCTAATTATCCGTAATTTCCCGATACCCATAGATTTTTGCGGAAAATTCGGCTTATCTAATTATCCTACGACACAGGTAAACTTTGCCTTAATGAGGACTAATAATCTAATGCTCACCAGATGTCACCAGTTGGGACTGAGGTGAACTTATTTGTTACTTAAATGATCACGCAGTGTCATCATCATTGAAAAGTTACGATTTAAATAAAAGTTTTCCGGTTTTTAGTGTATTTTTGTATACAAAAAATAATATCTCAGTGCTGTATTCTTTAATTTTTTACATATTTAAACTTTATTTCATTCTTCTACTTTTAGAAATATGTCGTTTGTCCATGTTTAATCTAATTAATATAAAATAAAACTAATATGTAATTAAAAACTTATAGCATCCAGACTTTTTTAACAAATTAATTTCCCCGCCATGGAATCTGTGAAATATTTCACCTCAGTCCTAAGTGGTGACGCCCTGGTGGTAAAGTCGTGGACGTCCTCATTGTCACCTTTGCCAAGGTTTCTTTTTTTAGAACTGTATTGGCAATCCAACTTACATTCCACCTAATGGCAAATGGCAAGCCGTGTCCATGACTTAAGGTAATAGCGGCTTTATTTAAAACTAGCGACCCGACCCGACTGCGCCTGGATATGATTAAATATAGTGGCGTTATTAGGATTTAAGGTTAACAAATAAAATATAGCCTACATGCCCCCTGGTATTGCTTACTATCTGTTCGTAAAGTTTCATCATATTCGGTTCAGCTATTCTGAACATTAATACACACAGACAGACAGATCAAAATTGACGACTCCGTGGCGCAGTAGCTTAGCAATGAGTTACAGCGCTGAGGGCCGCGGGTTCGAATCCCGCACGGAACAAGTATTTGTATGGCCTACAAGTAATTGTTCCTGGTCTGAATGTAATATGTTTGTCCTGTGTGCAATTTATGTATGTAACCTGCCTTCACGACACAGGAGAAAGTCATAGTGTGGGGGTAACTTTAAATAAATGATTGTTCGTGTTGTAATAGCATGCAAATAGCTCCCTGAGCTTAATAGAATCCATTTATATTAACATTACAGACAGATACTTCAACTTTATATATATAATATAACCTATGTGCTTGAAGACTATTGTACTTCCTATCTGTATCGCCGTATTGTTTGTTTATAAATCAGTGAGTTAAGGAATGTATTTGGTTCATTGAATAGAATGTAAAATGTCTCATCTGTTTATCACAGCTCTAATGCCTGTTAATTAATTAGGTTTAGCCTTTGGGTTTTCTCTCTGTTTTCCTGTGTCATTGTGACTCAGTGCATTTTTGCCATGAATCTTTTAAAATGTCTATTGCCATTGTAAAATAAACGGAAA